CCTGGGCCCCCTCCTCCCTGGGTCACAGACTGTGACAAAGTCTTATTGCCTGTCTCTGGAATTCATTTCCTGTCTCTCCTCGGTTCCACCTCTCTGGGGCTCCCCGGCCCTCCCCGATCCCTCAGCTCTGCGCCCCCTCAGCTTTGCCAGGCAGCTTGCTGCCTTCATTATTTTTACGCCAACACAGTTTAGAAATCCCCGCTGCCTCCTTCCTGTCTGCGGAGAGGCGGCTGCCACATTACCCTGACATGCTGATGTCATTAGAGTCCACGCGCTCCCCGGCTAATGAGGCGGCAGAAAGAAAATTAACGGGAAGAATCACACAGGCGCTTTGCTCTATATGGAGATGGAGAAATAAAACGAGAGCAAGAGCGGCAGAGGCCCGCTCTTTGCGGCTCTTCTCCCCCTCCCGCTGGGGCCGGGGCGCACACGCAGCTCGGGGGAGCCGGGAAACGCAGCCTGGTGTTTGACTACTGCTTCCCAGGATTCTGCCTGTGGAACTGGAGTAAGGGGAAGTCACTGTACCTAATTCTGTAATTAGGTAAAAAGAAAACACGAACACTTGAAGTCTGTGTTTTCAGGATGGGAAATGTCCAGAGGTGAGGCAAGACAGGAGATTTGCAGATGTTTCTAGAATCTGTCCTTCTCGCAATCAACCTCCGTTTCCCCTTGTTCGAGCTCTCTGCATTCCTCACCGGGATCGCCACAACAGTGTGGTTTTCCATCAGCCCCTACCCAGCGTGTCTCTACACTCGAGCAGAGAGATCATCCCCAGACACTCATTTGATTGTCATCTTTTCTGCTTAAAATGATGCAATAGATTCCCATTGTTCTTAAGACAGAGGCTCAAGCCCTTAACAAGGCCCCTGCCTAGGGTCCCGGCTCAGCTGGCTCCTTCTGCTGTTTCCTTTCCTCTCTGGCTACTGGGTCATCGTTCTGACTGCACATGTTGCAACCTCCTTCTGCCCCAGGACATTTGCCCGTGCTGTTCTTTTTTGCATGGTCATTCCTCCCCTCTTCACATAGCTATGTCTTCAGCCTTCAGATCTGGGCTTACTCAACATGTGCTCTGGGGGGGGCCTCAGACCTCTTCCCCCCCACCCCCCAGTCAGGTTAGGCCCCCTATTTGGCACTTTCAGGGTGCGGAGGGCCTTGGCATTGCCGCTCTTCTCACCACAGCAACTTTGCATGGGTGTGTACCGTTGTCTGAGTCAAGGCTATCTCACCCACATGACCGGCAGCTCCCTGAGGGCAGGAAATACGCATGCTCCTGTTCATCACTGTAACTCCAGCACCAAGCACAGTGCTTCCCTAGAAATGTTTGTTGAATGAATAAATAAGGGCTTTAGGGATGCCTGTTGGGAAGCACGGCCTATGTGGTTTGGGGGACATTGTTCATCGCTGGTGTTGTCCCTGCACCTCCCTGAGTCACGGGCAAGTCTGAGTTTGAATCATTCATGACTGCTGGCACGTGCATTTCCACTGGTTGCTGCTGGCCTCTGCCCTGTAGGGAACAGAAGAGCCTTTGGGAAACAGCACCGGAGAAGGGACAGGGTTGGAGCAGCTAGAGCGCGTTAGCCCCACGGGCTGACTGCACATGGAAAGTGCTCCCGGAAGGGCGTCAGGTGACATCAAGGGACACACAAAGCTGGCCACTTAATCTGAGCAGTGAGTCAGGGTGGCTCGCAGATGAAAGCCCATGACAGAGGTGGGGGAGGGGTGGCTGAGTCCGAGGATGCGGGGTCCTGTCCCGGTGCTGGTCCTTCGCAGCTCTGTGACTCTGGTAGGTCACGGGCCATCAGAGTGGACTTGTGCGCTCCCAGGCCCTTTGGGGCTCCAGCATTCTGTTCTGGGGTCCAGCCGGAAATGTGCTCTTCAAAGACGTGGGATGTGGAAAGCAGTACTTCCCTGTACACAGATAACACGGGGCTTCATGCTGTTTCCGGAATGCATCTTCCAGGTGAGGGGCAGAGGAGAGAGACGACAGCAAAGCCCTTTATTCCAGACAAGCATCCAACTCTCGTCAACTAGCGGCAGCTGCAAAACAAGTTTGGCTCCACATCCGTGCGTGCTGCTCTGCCCTCCTGCCAGCTCTCCTCCAGGCCGGGCCCCACCTGTCCTGACAACTTCCAGAATCAAACCTGGCCCCAGCCTGCACCTGCCCTCGGCCCGCTGTCTGACTCTGGTGTTAACTAGCGGTCAGCCGGGCATTGTCAACACGCTCGCTTCCCAAGCCGTGACCCCGCTTTGATCCGCGCGGCGGAGCACTGCGCACGGCTCTGGTGGATGCTTCGCGGCCGCCTGCCTCGGGGACGCTCCTTTGTCTGGGCGCGGGGGGACTGTGATTTATGTCATAAGCTCGCTGTGAAACCTTTTGCCTCGGTGATTCTGAGCTCCGTGGGTGTCTCTTTACATCTATTTAAAGCACGGCCGCTGCCCACGGACGGCGTGCTCTGCGACATTTCCCGGCGCCTCTGTGTACGCCTCGCCGTGGCGCTGAGTCTCGCCTGCAGAGCATCTTTGTGGCCGTTGCAGCGTGTTTGCTGCGCGCTCCACGGGGCTGCTGAGCCGAGGCGGGGCTGTCCCTTTGATGTTGCGCGTGGTGACTAGACCCCTTCCCCGGTGGAGCACTTGCAGGGGGTCTGGGTGGAGGAAGAGGCTGCTGCCGGATGTCCAGAGTGTTTACCCTGGTTGTGCTGAGGCAAGGCTGGAACATCACAGATACTTGCACCTTTGCTTAGAGGATTCTCAGAAACGCGTTCGCGTCCGCAACCTGCTCCAGGAGCGTGGGGGAGCTGGCGGCTGCAGATCTCACCGGGACTCGTTCGTGGGCGCCCCCTAGAGGTGTGGGGGACCTCAGCGCAAAGAGGTCGGGTCCCCATTCCCAAAGATTTAACCGCAGGCTACGCGCCCTCGAGCTGCTGGAATCCCTTTCATTCATTCAACAAACATTGACTGAAGGTCTGCAGGTACCAGCACTGTGTTATGTGCAGGGGAGGCAATGAGGGGCAATGCTTTTTGGTGAAAGCCTCAAAGTATTAAGATTTCTCAAGGAAGCTCCAATTCCTTCCACAATGGTGTGGAAATGCTGAGTGATTCATTGTCACTTCCAGGAGCCAAGCCATTGTCACTTCTCATGGCCTCTTGGCCCTTGCTATAACATAATGTCCCCTAAACCCAAACCCACACCCAACTTGCCCCCCCCCCCCACTGGCAAATGCCCCATTCCAGTGTGGCTGACATAGTATCGTGGACCCCAGGAGAGGGCCCCTGGAGACCCAGAGGGTGGGCACTGTGCCCTGTCTGCATCTGAGGTCAGGGTAGGGTAATTCCTACAGCCTCAGAGACAGAGTTCAGGGCTAGAGGTCGTGTCCCCAGGGATGATGATTGTGGGGCTGCACCCAGGACTTGGAACCTTGGGCAGGGATGAGATCACTCAAACTGAGTGACGTCAAGGCTAACAAAGGACTATGACTAGTCACTATTGAAATATATTGACTTTTTTTTCTTTAAAAGAATTTGCCCCAGATACTTTTCACTTGTGGCCCATCATGTAAAGCCTTGTTTCTTTCTTCAATCTTCATGCAGGTTCACACGATGCGAGTTGAAGTGTGCATCTTGGTTTAATGCAAACACGGTGTGAACTGGAGGGGCAGTGGGTGGGTCTTGTTTCCATGTTATTGGTTGATGAACTAAGCCTGCGGATATTGGGAAACGCTAAAATGTAAACTATGGATGTAGAATATAAAAATGCTGGCATTTCTTCCGTTCCAAGAGCCCACCATATTGCAATCACTGCACTGGTAGAGCACCATGGGGGAATTTCTCCGAGATAGTGTGAGAGTTAGCATAAGAAACTTGTCACAATGTTGTCATGTAAGAAAACACTCAGGGATTTATCTGGGTGGATTTTCCACTCTTCAACTATGTTTTTATAGACACAAACTTTACTCTGCATGCATCCATCATGCAAAGTTAGCATTTGAGAGAAATGTGTGAATCTACTATTTCAGACCATCTAGAATACTGTATTTTTTGGGTAACAGCCTTTCAGCTATTTGTTCAAAACTTACCAGGCCAAAATATGTCTCTTGCATATGACTGGTGAGTCTAGGTAACAGGGATACTTTTTAAATTAAGCACAGCCAATTTTACATCAAATTGAGTGACTTCCCTTCAATGAAGTCTTTTGGGGAGGACAAGTTCTTATTCCAACCAATATTTTAGGAACTTTTCTTTTGGAAACATTTTCCATCTTTTGAGTCTTTTCTCTAATGAGAAATCTTTATTCTTCACCTTTATTGTTTCAGGGTAGACCTGACACGTGGAAAAAGTGACGAGCTGCTCAGAGTCAAGTCTGCAAAGTGAGGTTGAGGTCCCAACACAGCCCTGACCCCACCAGGCACTTCACCTGGTTGAAACCCAGGCAGGAGAATGCACGTGCCTGGAGTATTTCATTGGAGTGTGGTGAGGACTGAATGAGAGAAATGTGCAAACGTGTAAAGTGCTCTCATTAATCTCACTAATAGGTGGGAACTCAGATCGGGTATTTCATTTCAGATCAAATGCCAGATGCCATAACAGACTGATTTTCATTGTTCTGAAAATTACACCAGAAGATGAGCTGCCAAAATATTTTGAGGCATGACAGCGTCATCAAAATAAATGCTTGGGGTTCCTAGGTGACTCCTTTGAAAGGATACACTCGGGTACCCTTGTTGACACTCCAACCTCTTAATTTTCTAGTGACTCTAGCTGGAGGCTTCCAAGCGCTTGTTCCTTCAAGTGTGGTCCCAAGACCAGCAGCCTCTGCCTCATCCGGGGGCTTGTTAGCATGCAGACTCTCCCACCCCAGACCCGCGGAATCAGAATCTGCATTTTAACAAGTCCATAGGGGTTTCCTGGGCCCCTTAAAGTTTGAGAAGCATGGCATGCCTCCCAGCTGCAGGCCCGGTCCCTGCGCTGCAAAGCTCCAGGTTTGTCGCTCAGCCACCTCTTACCTTGGGGAAGGCGTCGGGCCACACGGTGGGCGAGCCGTGGTTGAGCAGCGCCTGCACGGTGCGCTGCGGCGCGGCCTGGGGCGCGCAGGCGGCCGTCTGGAGCGCGCGGGCCAGCGGG